TGGAAAGAGCCTGGTGCTGGCCAATTAAAGAGGGGATTGTGCAAAGGCCAGGAAGGGTCACATACAGAGAAAGTCAGCTTAGCCATGGCCGAAGTTCAAACCTAGACCCCCAAGTGACATTTCAGGAAGTTCTCCCCACTCCCCATTCTTGGATAATTGCAAAATAAGTAGGTCTCTGGAAAAGTGAGTTGTACAGGCTTCCTGAAAGGCCTGGGGGACAACTGCAATAACGAAAATAGCAACAATAACAGTATAAGCTATTTGTCTAATATTCAGCAGATATTTATGAACACCTGCTGCATGGAAGGCTTTATATCAGGTACTTTATAAATAGTATCTCTAATTTCCACAGCAAAATTTAAGATAGATATTATCTCTATATTACAAATGGGTAAATTAAGGCTTAGAGAGGTAAAGTGACTTAAGGTCATACAGCTAGTAGGTGACAGAACTAGGATTGAAACCAGGTCTGCATAACTAGAGCTATGCTCTTTTCCACGATAACAGACTGTTATACCTGTGCTTTTTAATGAGCAAATTATAGCTAAAGCCATTTGAATTAAACTAATAAACTGAAAAGTAAAAAGAAAAAAAAATTAAAAGATAACTTAGAAAACACCCCCTGCAGTGCACTACTCCAAAATCTGTGGGTTTGTGCCAAAACATTATCTATGAAGTATTACGAGATTATGTAGCATATTAGTTATGGGAAACTAATTGGAAACTAGTTAATTAATTCAAGTCAACAATGAGGATTAAAATAATAAAAGCAAAATACAAGGTTAAATTTGATGCCATGAGATACCAAATTCTATACCAAATGGCTAGAAGGGAGTCCCAGGAAATGTTCAGTAACGGAAGTCCACATGGTGATGGAGTCACAGAATAAGGATCGGCACAGTGAGGGAGAAAGGACGGGGACCACAGAGTCAGACACTTAACAGTTATGTGATCTTAGGCCACTTCACTTAATAGTTCAGAACCTCAATTTTTTAACCTGTAAATGGGAATTGTAATATCTACTTCAGAACTGTTGTGAAGAACAAATGTTACATATGTGAAGTGCCTAGCATTCCATAAATGGTATTTTAATAGAAAATTATTATTACCCTCAACTGTTTATATTCCTATTTTTCTCAATCACCTATAGAAGACACACAGAAACATTCTCTCGTGCCTCAAGACAGAAAGTCCAAGACTGCCATTTTATCAATTTTTCAGGCTCTATAATACAGTTGAGACTAACCCTTCAGAAATGCAACATGCAGAGAGGAATTCCTTGTGAAGAGGAAAGAAGAAAATATCTGCCTTTACAAATGCAACAGATTGTAAATGGTGAGCCTACTCAATCCCAAAACCAACTACTCCCCAGGCTGTCCTTTGAGATTGTCTTGCTCCATCGCCCATGAAATGCTGGGACCAGAGGAGGTCAGAAACATTCCTAGAAACCACTGGCATGAAACAGCTGCACCCCGCGCCCTGCCCGCCCCCCGCAACATTTCTTCCTGCCCCTGCGATGGCTTGTCCTTGAGGCCTGGCAGCCACTCAAAGAAAGGAGAGGCCCTTCCTCCCCAGTAGCTGGTGACCCACCCAGGCTACTCCCCAGCTACCTGTCAGATGTCATTACAGACTGAAACAGTGAGATCAAGCTGCTTAGGAAAAGGGACAGAGACAAAGGCAAAGTTGCTTCGCTATGCGGCAATGACTGGGGCAGGTTTAAAGCTCATTTCTTCATCTTTTCCAGACACTCTTCCTTACACAAATTTCTGGAAGAAGGTTTCTTTCCTTCCTATCCTCCATTAAAATGAGCAAAAACCTCTACCAGTTCCTTCTTTCCTCCCTTTCTTTCAACACTCATGGCCTAGTGGAAAGAACATAGGCTTGGAAGTCAGCCCTGGGTTGAAAAGCCCTGATCTCATTTATTAACCACACGACCTTGGATGGGCAAGAATCTTTTTCTCTCTAAGCCTCATCTATGAAATGAGAATGCTAATATCTATTTGTAGAGTTGTTCTGAACACTAGAGATGCATACTTGGCATAAATTAGGAACTTAGTATATAACAGATCTATTATTAGTTATTGGCAGTAATATTGCTTTCAATGTGATCATCATGAAAAAAAAACCCTATATGTTCATTTTCTTTAAGAGGGAAAATACCAAGTTAATTACCACTGAATACCAACACTGTACCTGGTTCTACTGAAGCTGAAAGACAAAACTTCTTAAACATTCAGACCCCACAACATGGGGGCAATAGCCCCTGGATAATCAAGAGCTGGTCAAAGGGGATCCATATGAGAATTCTGATGAAGGTGGTGACAAGGGTTTGACCTAGAGAATTGCAGTAACTGAAATATGGAAAAGAACTCCTTATCTGACGCCTTATCTGACAGATGAGGAAACTGAGACCCACGAACTTAAAGGTTTTCATTAAGATCACTCAGGTCATTGGCAAAACTATGACTTGGGGATTGAAATCTCCCAATTTGTAATTCAGAGGCTTTTCCTCCCTGGCACACTACAGACCACATAGCATGTACATAGAAGAGTTCAAGGAAACGATCTGGCCAGAACTGTGCTAGACAGTCTCTATCCCTGTCCTTGAGGGCATACAGTCCAGTGGCGGAGACAGGAAAACAGGTTGTTCCAACGTGCTTTGTGACTAAGTACTGCAAAGTGTACAAGCTGCTTGGGGCAAAAAAAGAAAACCTTAGCTAAGGGGGTTACCCTAGTAAACAGCGGAAAGGCGGTGTTGAAGGTTCGGGGGTGGCAGGATGGGCTTCAGTGAAGGGGCAGACACAGCAGTGCTAGGGGGCAAAGCATGAGGCAAGGAGCCCCACAGGGGCTGAGGAGGCAGGGGTCAGCCATCCCATTCCAAGCCCAGCATCTGCCATTCAGGAGATGATAGCGATGGGATGACAGCCAGGAAGAGAGGAGCCTGGGGGCATTTGGGATCCATTTCTCATGGAATCCCAGAGAAAGAAATACATCTCCCTGGCCTGTCTTGAGGTCTCAGAGTACTTGGAGGTGGGGAAGGTGCGGATGACAGAAGACAATCCCATTTGGCTCTTTCTTACTGTTAATAATGGAAAGGTTTCTCAGAGATTGCTAATATTCTGCCGCCACTTACCACACTGAGATGAACAGATACTCCTGGGTCAGGGATAGGAAGTTTGTGCAGAGTTTCAAGAAGCTCATTCCACTGACTCTCCTGAAAGAAATAAAAGGCCTAAGTAACAAAGGCAGGGCTGAGCCCTTAGTCAGAGACCTGCAGGGAGGTCTGGGCACACAACAGAAATAGGTTTGATATTCAAGTAGGGTTGGACAAAAGACACTGCTTAGGCTCAATAAAAGAGCCAAACAGATCCACCCACACCAAGTTTGACATTTTCTACTTAGTGAGACACCTACCATGACCGCCTTTTATGGATCATATACCATAAGCTCTCAGCAAATCTATCCTCTCGACTCCATAGCAACAACTTTTAAATGCAAACAACCCCAGCTTACAGGGCGGGGGTGGTAGGGAGAAATAACGATGACACTATAGATCTTGTCTTCATCATCATTACCCTCAATTAATTTTATTGAGTGTTCACTGGATACACAGCAGCCTCCAATTATGGAAAGTTAAAAATGAACTACTACAACAGCATGGAATACAGGATGGTGGCTGTGCATTTGAATTAGTGAAACTGAGCCACAAAATGAAACGCAAAGCAGCACAAATTCTTCGACTGAAAACAGGTTCACCTTTAAAATGCTCAAAAGAACACTGTTTACGGAATTATCCAAAAGCTATTTCTCCCACCCTGTGGAATTCTCTGTGCTGATAAAACAGTAATAAGCTTACAGTTGTACCCATTTGGTAGGTGTTTGAGCCTCACAACTACCTCACTTTACAGGTTGAAAACTAAGGCTCCGAAGGGTAAAGGAACTTGACTCAAATCAACCAGCTGGTAAACTGCACAGCCAGGAGCTAATCACAGGTTTTCTGTGTTCAAACCCAGAGCTCTCTCCGCTGTTCCACAGCTGTCTTTGTTAGTGAATTTAAAGGAGAGGAAAAGAGGATGGGTCCAAAGTAAAATCCTGTTTCAATCTGAATTCATAAGTAACTCAAATTTCTCAGGGGGTAGAAATGAACATGTGCAGGTACACAAGTTTAATTTTGCTCTGAAACAATCTCAAACTTACAGAATAATCACACGACAGTACAAAAAACCTTTATTTCCATTTGAGAGTGAGTTACCAACATTATGCCCCAACATCCATAAATAAAAAGGACATTCTCCTACATAACAATTAATCATCAAAATCAGGAAATTAACACTGAAACAACATTATCATCTAATCCTCAGATCCCACCAAGTGTTGCCGACTGTGCCAATAACGTCCTTGGATAAAGCAAAATTATCCAGTTCAGAATCACATGTTGCCTTCAAATGCTATGACTCTCTAGTTTTCATCAGTCAGGAACAGTTCCTAAGTCTTTCCTAGATTTGTATGAACCTGACAGTGAGACCAACCATTTTGTAAAATAACACTCACTTGTTTGATGTTTTCTATTGATTCAGATTTCAATTCATCCCATTTCTGATGATGTTCACTTTAATCATTTGATTAATTCATCTGAGGTCTCTATTGTGAGATCACTCATTTTCCCTAAAGTGAAGCAGCTATACATATACATATATCCCCTCTTTTTTGGATTTCCTTCCCATTTAGGTCACCACAGAGCACTGAGTAGAGTTCCCTGTGCGTAGGTTCTCATTAGTTATCTATTTTATACATAGTAGTGTATATATGTCAATCCCAATCTCTCAATTCATCCCACCATCCGTTCCCCCCCTGGTATCCATGTTTGTTCTCTACATCTGTGTATCTATATTTGCTTTACAAATAAGTTCATCTGTACCATTTCTCTAGATTCCACATATAAGTGATACTATATACTATTTGTTTTTCTATTTCTGACTTACTTCACTCTGTATGAGTCTCTAGGTCCATCCACGTCTCTGCAAATGGCACGATTTCGTTCCTTTTTATGGCTAATATTCCATTGTATAAATGTGCCACATCTTCTTTATCCATTCCTCTGTTGATGAACATTTAGTTTGCTTCCATGTCCTGGCTATTGTAAATAGTGCTGCAATGAACACGGGGGTGCATGTATCTATTTTTAGTTTTTTAAGGAACCTCCATTCTGTTCTCCATAGCAGCTCTACCAATTTACATTCCCAACAACACTATAGGAGAGTCCCCTTTTCTCCAAACCCTCTCCAGCATTTACTGTTTGTAGATTCTTGGATGATGGCCATTCTGAATGGTGTGAGGTGATACCTCATTGTAGTATGGATGTATGTATGGATGGATGGATGTATTTATTTATGGCTGTGTTGGGTCTTCATTGCTGTGTGCGGGCTTTCTCTAGTTGTGGCGAGCGGGTTACTCTTCGTTGCGGTGTGCGGGCTTCTCATTGTGGTGGCTTCTCTTGTTGCGGAGCATGGGCTCTAGGCGTGCGGGCTTCAGCAGCTGTGGCTCGAAGGCTCTCGAGGGCAGGCTCAGTAGCTGTGGTGCACGGGCTTAGCTGCTCCATGGCATGTGGGATCTTCTCGGACCAGGGCTCGAACCCATGTCTCCTGCATTGGCAGGGGGATTCTTAACCATTGCGCCACCAGGGAAGCCCCCTCATTGTAGTTTTGACTTGCATTTCTCTAATAATTAGTGATGTCGAGCATCTTTTCATGTGTTTGTTGGCCATCTCTATATCTTCTTTGGAGAAATGTCTATTTAGTTAGGTCTTCTGCCCATTTTTTGATTGGGTTGTTTGTTTTTTTGATATTGAGCTGCATGAGCTGTTTGTAAATTTTGGAGATTAATCCCTGTCAGTTGATTCGTTGGCAAATATCTTCTCCTATTCTGAGGGTTGTCTTTTTGTCTTGTTCATAGTTTTGTTTGCTGTGCAAAAGCTTTTAAGTTTAATTAGGTCCCATTTGTTTGTTTTTGTTTTTATTTCCATTACTCTAGGAGGTGGGTCAAGAAAGATCTTGCTGTGATTTAGGTCAGTGTTCGGCCTATGTTTTCCTCTAAAAGTTTTATAGTTTCTGGCCTTACATTTAGGTCTTTAATCCATCTTGGGTTTATTTTTGTGTATGGAGTTAGGGAGTGTTCTAATTACATTCTTTTACATGTAGCTGTCCAGTTTTCCCAGCACCACTTATTGAAGAGGCTGTCTTTGCTCCATTGTTTATTCTGGCCTCCTTTGTCATAGATTAGGTGACCATAAGTATGTGAGTTTATCTCTGGACTTTCTATCCTGTTCCATTGATCTATACTTCTGTTTTTGTGCCAGTTCCATACTGTCTTGATTACTGTAGCTTGGTAGTATAAAGTCAGGGAGCCTGATTCCTCCAGCTCCAATTTTCTTTCTCAAGATTGCTTTGGCTATTCGGGGCCTTTTGTGTTTCCATACAAATTGTAAAATTTTTTGTTCTAATTCTGTGAAAAATGCCCTTGGTAATTTGATAGGGATTGTACTGAATCTGTAGATTGCTTTGGGTAGTATAGTCATTTTCACAATATTGATCCTTCCAATCCAAGAACATGGTATATCTCTCCATCTGTTGGTATCAGCTTTAATTTCTTTCACCACTGTCTTATATTTTTCTGCATACAGGTCTTTTGTCTCCTTAGGTAGGTTTATTCCTAGATATTTTATTCTTTTTGTTGCAGTGGTAAATGGGAGTGTTTCCTTAATTTCTCTTTCAGATTTTTCATCATTAGTGTATAGGAATGCAAGAGATTTCTGTGCATTAATTTTGTATCCTGCAATTTTACCTAATTCATTGATTATCTCTAGTAGTTTTCTGGTGGCATTTTTAGGATTCTCTACGTATAGTATCATGTCATCTGCAAACAGTGACAATTTTACTCCTCCTTTTCCAATTTGTATTCGTTTTATTTTTTTTTCTTCCCTGATTGCCGTGGCTAGGACTTCCAAAACTATATTGAATAAGAGTGGCAAGAGTGGACATCCTTGTCTTGTTCCTGATCTAAGAGGAAATGCTTTCAGTTTTTCACCACTGAGAATGATGTTTGCTGTGGGTTTGTCATATACGGCCTTTATTATCCTGAGGTAGGTTCCCTTTATGCCCACTTTCTGGAGAGTTTTTATCATAAATGGGTGTTGAATTTTGGCAAAAGATTTTTCTGTATCATCTATTGAGATGATCATATGGTTTTTATTCTTCAGTTTGTTTATATGATGTATCACACTGACTGATTTGTGTATATTGAAGAAGCCTTGCATCCCTTGGATAAATCCCACTTGATCATGGTGTATGATCCTTTTAATGTGTTATTGGATTCTGTTTGCTAGTATTGTGTTGAGGATTTTTGCCTCTATGTTCACCAGAAAATTATGGTCCGTGATTTTCTTTTTGTGTGTGTGATATCTTTGTCTGGTTCTGGTATCAGGGTGATGGTGGCGTCATAGAATGAGCTTGGGAGTGTTCCTCCCTCTGCAATTGTTTGAAAGAGTTTGAGAAGGAAAGGTGTCAGCTCTTCTCTAAATGTTTGAGAGAATTCACCAGTGAAGCCATATGGTCCTGGACTTTTGTTTGTTGGAAGATTTTTAAATCACAATTTCAATTTCATTACTTGTGACTGGTCTGTTCATATTTTCTATTTTGTCCTGGTTCAGTCTTGGAAAGTTGTACCTTTCTAAAAATTTGTCTATTTCTTCCAGGTTGTCCATTTCATTGGCGCAGAGTTGCTTGTAGTACTCTCTTATGATACTTTGTATTTTTGTGGTGTCACTTGTAACTTCTCCTTTTTCACTTCTAATTTTATTGATTTGAGTCCTCTCCCTTTTTTGCTTGATGAGTCTGGCAAACGGTTTATCAATTTTGTTTATCTTCTCAAAGAACAGCTTTTAGTTTCATTGATCTTTGCTATTGCTTTCTTGGTTTCTATTTCATTTATTTCTGCTCTGATCTTTATGATTTCTTTCCTTCTACTACCTTTGGGTTTTGTTTGTTCTTCTTTCTCTAGTTGCTTTAGGTGTAAGGTTAGGTTGTTTATTTGAGATGTTTCTTGTTTCTTGAGGTGGTACTGTATTGCTATAAACTTCCACCTTAGAACTGCTTTTCCTGCATCCCATAGGTTTTGGGTCACCATGTTTTCACTATCATTTGTTTCTTTATTTCCTCT